TCTGTCCGTCTCAGATAACAGGAATTCATGCTCTTCTTGGGCTTTGCAAACTAGTAGGGGCTGCCTGAGGTTTGTAAGCACAGGAGGCAATGGCTCAGCCCTTTTGGTAACCAGAGAACATGCAAGGGAGGGCTGGAGATTTCAGCTCAGCAGTTAAGTGCGCTGCCTGATCTTCCAAAGGTCCTGAGTTCAATTCCCAGCAACCACGTGGTGGCTCACGACCTTCTGTAGTGAGATCTGGTGCCCTCTCTGGACTGCAGGCAGAACACTGTATACATAATAAATAAATGAATCTTAGAAAAAGCTTTAGGGGAGTGATGGGGGAATGTCCTTTTGTATGCTGTGAATATGTGTTTCTCTTAGTAGTTGATGAATAAATGCTGATTGGCCAGTAGCCAAGCAGGAAGTATAGTTGGGGCTGCCAGACTAGGAGAATTCTGGGAAGAGGAAGGCAGAGAGGAGTCGCCAGGGATAAAGGGTCGGGTGTGGGGCATGGGAGGACTGCAGGGAGAGCAAACTGGGATTGGTACATATGATAGGATTGTTTTTTAATTTAAATAAAAGTTTATTTTAAAAAAAGGACACGGAAGCTTTTGTTCTTTGCCTGCTTGCCCTCGCCTCACTGAGACTAACTCCTTTGCTGGCTTTACAGCCTGCTTTTTGAGGATTCCAGCATCTACGGAAGACCAGCTGAGATTTCCAGCCCTGCGGGCTGAGCAGCTACTGGATTCTTGGAGTTTCCATTCACTGCCAGCCCTTGTTGGATTAGCTGAACTGCAGCCTGTAAGTCGTTCCAATAACTCCCCCTTCTGTATATCTCCAGAGACACACTCTATACATTCTGCTGCTTTGGAGAACCCTGACTAATACACCACGACCGAGAATATACAGCAGAGGTAGCAGAGATCCCTACGTCCCCATCAAGTGCACACACCTCAGTGACCCACTTTCCTTCTGGTCCTCACCTCCTGAAGCCCTCACGCTCCAAGCCTTTGGTGATCAAGCCTTTACCCTGTGACCTTTGGGCACATTCCCATTTTGTTTTAAAGCATCCTCTGTTGTTGTGATTTAAAAAAAAAACACTCTAAAACCGTGGGAAGAAAGGAATGGCTTGGTTTATACTTCCAGATCACGATACATCGCCCAGGAAAGTCAGGGCGGCCGCTATAGGCAGGGACCTGGAGCAGGACGGGAGGAGGAAGGTCTGCTGGCTGTCTGGCTCTCCGGCTCCTGCCCAGACTGCTTTCTTACATGGCCCAGGCCCACCTGTCCCCGGGTTGCTACCGCTCACAGTGGGCTGAGTCCTCCTGTGTTAGTTAAGAATCAACTAAGAATCAAGACACTCTGAGTCATGCCAATATGATGTGGGTGACTCCTCAGCTGAGGCTTTCTCTTAGATGACTACGGCTGTTTGAGGGTCAGCCTGCTCTACACAGCCAGTTTTAGGAGAGCCAGGGCTACACAGAGAAACAGTGTCTCAAAACCCAAAACAACCAAAAACCCCCCAAACCGAAAAAATCCACAAGTTTTGAGAGGAATTACAATTTAGCATCACGTTTGCATATAAGTACATATGTATACATGCATGCAGATGTTTCAAGATTAGAGCATAGGCTTTCAGCCTGCCTTTTTTAAAGACAAGGCATATTCTTATTTGATTTATTATTTATTTTTAATTTATGTGTATGAGAGTTTTGCCAGCATGTAAATCTGTGTACTACATGGGTGCCTGTTGCCCAAGAAGCCCCTAGGACTGGTCACAGATGGTGTGAGCTGCCATGCGGATGCTGGGAATCCAACCTGGGTCCTCTGGGAGATTATCCAGTGTGTTTAACCACTGAGCTGTCTCTCCAGCCCCAGCCTGTCTTTGGTTTAAGAATGCCTTAAATTTCACTATGATTAAAATGTTCTGTGTTGCCTCAAATGGTCACATTTGTCTGTTTAAAACTTGAAATGTGGAGGCAGAGGCAGGTGGATCTCTGAGTTCAAGACCTTCAAGACCAGCCTGGTCTACAAGAGCTAGTTCCAGGTCAGCCTCCAAAGCCACAGAGAAACCCTGTCTCAAAAAAAGCAAACCAAAAAAAAAAAAAAAGACTTGAAATATAAGTGATGCCTTTAATCCCAGCACTCGAGAGGCAGAGGCAGCCGGATCTCTGTGATTTTGAGGCCATCCTGGTCTACAGAGCGAGTTCCAGAACAGCCAGGGCTACACAGAGAAACCCTATCTCAAACAAACAAACAAGATTTATTTTATTATTTTTATTTATGTATGGATGCGTGGGTCTGTGTATGTACTTGCAGGTACTGTGGAGGCCAGAGCTCCCTTGTGAGCGACTGGCGGTTGTGAACTGCCTGATGTGGGTGTTAGGATCTAAATTCAGGTCCTCTAGAAGATGGGTGCCTGTTCTTAAGTGCAGAGCTATCTGAGTGTCCCCAGTGTTGTAATGTAAAGAGGAGAGCTTGAGAGAAAGATGCCATGAGACAGCTTGGGTGGAGGTTTTTCTTTTTAACTGGGGGAGAGTGGATGGAGAAAGGGGAGAGGGGATAGGGGAGACCGGCCTCTGGGAACAGGAGCAGTAGAAGAGAAGAGAGAGGCAGAGGGCTGGGGGATTTCTAGAGTAACGTCCCACAGTGTCTGAGGGTCACTTTCTTCACTTCTTCTTTAGTCCCAATCTTCTTGTCCTAATTGTCTATAATTTCTTATTCTCTGTGGCAGTCCCATCATCCTTACTTCTTCTCCGTTCCACATTCTCCCAATCTCTCTTCCCAGTCTTGTTGCTTCTGCCCCTACAAATCCCCAAGCTTGTGTGTGTATATATATATATACACACATCATACATACACACACACATACACCACACACATAACACACACACATACACACCACACACATACACACACCACACATACACACACATACACCGCACACATAACACACACACACATACACACACACACACCACACACACCATACACATACACCACACACACACATCACATACACACATACACCACACACACATACACCACACACACATACCACACACACATACACACTACACATACACACACACCACACACACATATACACATGCACACACACACATACACCACACACACACCACATACACATATGCACACCTACACACACACAGATACACACACACAAATACACACACATACATACACACACACACACATACACACACCATACACATACACACACACACCACATACACACACATCACATACACATACATACACACACACCACATACACATAAATACACACAGATACACACATACCACATACACACATACATACACACACACCACATACACATAAATACACACACCACACAGATACACACCACATACACACACATACATACACACACACCGCATATACATACACACACATACACTCACACCACATACACATAAATACACACACCACACAGATACACATACACCACATACACACACATACATACACATACACACACACACACATACACACACCACATACACACACATACATACACACACACCACATACACACACAGATACACACACACCACCTACACATACATACACACACCACACATATACACACACCACACACACATATACAGACACCACACATACACACACCACACACACACCACACATACACACACACACACACACACACACACACACACACACACACACACGTCCATTCCTTAACAACTTGTTAGTCATAAAACTACAAGGAAAATTCTCAGGGACACAGGCATTCCTGGAAGATTTGTATCTGAGCTATCAGCTAGTTTATAGCCAACCGCAGCTGCAGCTGTGAGGAGGTTGTTTCTTAAAGGGGCTGCTCCAGGTTACAAAGGGAAGAAACTAAACCCATGCGAGATCTAAGGAGGAGGCAAAGAATCCATGTTCTATTTTATACTTCTTAAGTGTGGTTAATAATAGCTGGACGTGGCTAGTCAGTTAACAGCCTTTCTTACGGCCTGAATCTCAGTACCTAAACAAAGACGGTTAGTCTACTGCATCAAAAGCTGGTACCAAGTGTTAACTGCTATTTTGAATCGCAGGGAGGTGTGGTGGAGAAAGCTTAGACCAACCTAGGTGCTACTGATCCTCTTGAAAGAATGTGACGTAACAAGGACAGACACCTGTCCTATGGTTCCAGGCCAAACGCCTGCAATTTCATAAGTAAAACCTGTGAAAAAGTTTCCTTTGCCGTCTGTCCAGAAGGACACGTGTGGCCAGCGTGCTCTGGCAGTAAGGCTAATGACAGACAACAGGCTTAAGTGTCTCATCTTAATGTGGAGAACATAGTGTAGAGAGAAGCCCTCCTTCAGACCATCCACAAGTATGTGAGCCCCTCAGACTGAGAGGTCATCATGAGATCACACGCACACATTGCATGAAAACGCGTGGTCATGGGGACGTATCATAGCTGTAATCGCACAAGCGAAATTACAGATGAAAGCAACACTTTTCAGAGTCAGTGATCTGTAAGCCTTTGCAGTTGGGAATAAACTTCCTTTTTACCTACGGAAGGGATATTTTGGTTTCTCCATTGCACCCATTTTTCACTCAACAAGATGACGGAGTGCATTTATACAGTACATTAATCCCCCCATATGTGAAATATCTATGGATTCCTTAATAAATTCACAACACGGGGCTAGAGTGATTTTTTAAAATAATGCTATATGTCTTTATTTCCGTGTCCCCCACATTTAACTACTCCCTTTTTGTGACCACCACGATGCCGCATTTTTCAGAAGTTTGGTAGTTTTGGTGGGCTTCTCAATCCATCCCGTTGGTCTGTGTCTGTGTTCATCGGCTTCCATCACTTACACGTGTGAGGGTCTCAATTCCATCTCCAGGACCGGGGAAAAGAGTAATTACTATTTTCTTCTCAGGGTTCACATGCCATTCATTAATCAGACCTCGTGAAAAGGCAGAGGCGAGCGAGCGGGTCTGGGTGAGGCTGACGCCAGCTCCATCTGTTAGTCCCAGGACAGTCAGGACTTCATGGTGTGGAGGCCCTTAACCTTAACCCTAACCCTAACCCTGACCTCAGCTCAGACCCCAGGGTGAGCCTCGAATGCGCTCAGACTGCAATGCTCTCCTCACCGTGGCTGGAGACCCCTGCCTGCCCTCCTGTCTGCAGTGTGGCTGGAGAACGAACGAACGCCAGCTCAGGAGTGGCGCTTGTAATTTACTGCACGTCGCACCTAGTTGTAGCGGGGAGGAGGGAAACCCAAGCTTGCTTTGCTTTCCAGCGAGGACCTGGTCGACTACGCGTTCGCACTCATTTGACCTCCCCGGGCTGCCGTCGCCGGCTCCTCCGCGGACTCGTGCGCCTGCGCACTGCGGACGGACGGGCGGTCGCTCGCTCCATTTCTGCGGGAACCGGGAAGGACGTTGGTGTGGAGGTGAGGCGAGGCGAGCGGCCGTGCGGGCGGCGACCCCGGGGTGTGGCGGCCGCGGGGCCCGGCCTGTGGCGGGGACGGGACGGCGGTGAGCCCCGGGTCCCGGCCTAGCGTGGCCGCGGCCTTCCCCGTGCCCGCCGCGCTCGCTCGTTCGCCCGCCCTCCGGAGGCCGCGGGCCTGGCGGGGACCCCAGAGCCCCGGCGACCCCGCCGCCTGCCCCGGTGCGCGCGTCCTCGGCGGGGCCTCGGGGCTCGCTCGGCGGGCGGGCGGGCGGGCGGGCCGGTTCTCCGGGTGACCGGGGTGACCTTGACCGGGGCCGCCCGCCCCGCTGCGCCCGGGCCCGGTGGTGTCAGGGCGGCGTCACCGCCTCGGGGGCCCGGGGTCGGCTCTGCCTGTGTCTGTCCGCGGCTGGGGGGGTGGGTGGACGCCTGTGCTCGGGTTTCCCGGTCGAGCCCCGCCGAGGCGCATGGAGGGGCGGGGGTCACCCAGTCACCTGCCCTGCGGTTCAGGGCGTCTGACTGTCTTGTCTTCCGTGTAGAGGACACTCGCGCGGCCATGAGTTCCGGTGCGTTGCCGAAACCCCAGATGCGCGGCCTCCTGGCCAGGCGCCTGCGGGTGCACATCGTGGGCGCCTTCATTATGGCCCTGGGCGTCGCCACCGCCTATAAGGTAGGTGTCTGCGGCTGGTGCTTTGGGTCCCACGAGACGTGCATTTGAGACGCTTATTTTTGTTACCTATTAAGAGCACCTTACTCCCTCGTCCCTGCATTCCCTGCTGCCTTCCTTGGGCCTCAGTGTTGACGGGAACCACTCAGGACCCCCTCACCCCCGGAGTTTGCCCTCATCTTCAAAATGAACCTGTGTCACTTGCCTAGGGCTCCCATATCGAAGAACCAGGCTGCGTGATTTAAACCGAGTCAGCATTTGTTATCTCACAGGGTTTTGTTTTGTTTTGTTGTTTTGAGATAGGGCCTTACTAAATAACCGTGGCTAGACCAGGCTGGCCTCCAGCTCGTGTCATCTGCCTGCCCCAGTCTCACTCAATGCCGGGGTTAAAAAGCTTGCTCCACCACACTCTGTTTTATGAGCAGGGAAAGTGACTTCTGGGTCCTTTCTCTGTTGCTGTTTTCTCCACACACTCTTCTGTAACTGGCTGGGTTTCCTCCTGTGAAGAGCCTAGGTTAGGACCCATGCCGTTTTGAACATCTTTTAAGAGCTGATTTCCAAAGGTCTTGTGAGGCAGGGTTTTATGCATTTGGGGAGAACAAACTCCTGCCTTTAACAGACAGTGGATCCACTGGGGTATAGAGGAAGCAGCTCCTCACTTGGGCAGTTTTGAATAATTGACAAGAGTAGCGTTTTGACGCTGTGTCTCTGTGGTTCTAAGGGGGGAGTGAGACAGGGTCTCACTATATGACCTGGGATGGCCTAGAACTTGCTCTGCAGCCCGCTCCTGGAGCGTCTAAAGTGGATTCTTTAGGAACATTTGCCCACCTGCATCTCCCTCCCAAGTGCTGGGATTAAAAGGTGTGTGTCACCAGGACCTCGCCCTTCTATAGATTTAAATGTTTTTATCACAAACCTTCCTGTTTTAAATCAGATGATACTGTTAAGAGCCTCTTAAAATGTTTATTATTATGCATGTTTCCATGGTTTTGTAATAAAACCATGAGAAAATTGAGGACTTTGTATTTTTCTGAGATGGGATTTCTCTGTGTAGCCCTGGCTGCCCTCGAACTCAGATTTGCCTTCCTTTGTCTCCTGGGTGCCAGGATTAAATGTGTGCACCACCACTGCCTGGGTACAGTCAGGGCTTTAGTAACTTTTGGTAAATCTTTACTCTTTACCAGAATGAGCTTTTTAAAGTCAGGTACTTTTTTTTATGGGGGACTCGATTGTCAGGTGTGACACAAGTGGGTGTTTAAAAGTGTATGTTGAATAAGAGGCAGAGTGTAATCAGCACAGCATGCAGTGTAGGTGGATTTGGAAGATACAGAGAACAATAAGATTGAATCTTTATTAAGGGAAGTTACTGAAATGTAGGACATAGGGTTGGGGGCAGGTGATGCAGATCGTTGTCTTTTAGAGAAAGTGGAATCTGAGAGCTGGCAGGTGAAAACACTTGTAAGGATTAAGTGTGCCCATGCTTTGCTACCATTTGAAAGAGAAGAAACCTTGCTTGGTATGTCAGATGCTACTGTGTAGTGGGCATAAAGTTTGTGGAAGAATGGGTGGGTAGATGTCTAAATATATGTACTTAGTAATTTAGACGAGGTTATAGTCTGCTGTTGTCATTCCTTGCCCTCATTAAACTTTTCTGGTTCTCAGATTATGTCAATGAAAATTACTTCTTGTTCTAACAGATAACTCGTGGTTGACTTGCCTAGTGTATTATGGTTCTCCAGAGAAACAGTCCAGCATGACCTATGTGCTTATGCATGTACACATTTACACACACCCTTTGTGGATATTGAAAGACACTGAGACTTATCCAATGACCTGGGCTGAGTTCCACTGCATGTCATCCAAACTGTGTAGAATTGTTCTAGTTTACCTTCTGTTGCTGTGATTAATAAACACCGTGATCAGAAGCAACTTGAGGAGGAACGGGTTTGTTTAGCGTACAACAACAAGGAGGAATGATGCTTGCTTCTTTTACTTGCTCAGCTACCTTTTATAACCCAAGACCACCTGCTCAAGGGATGGCTCTGCCCATAGTGGGCTGGGCCTTCCTACATGAGTTAGTAATTAAGAAATGTCCTATGCACATGCCACAGGTTTCTTCTTCCCAAGTGTGTCAAGGTAACTGAAGCTGGCAACCACGAAACCCAGTGTTAGAATTTATTCCAAATCTGGAGAGCTGAGCTCCAAGGGAACTGATGGTCTCTTCCCCAATACAAAAGCCAGGGGGAGATGCGGTACTCTGGTGTAAGTCCCAGAGTTGGAAGTCTAGGAGGCATAATGTCTGTGGGAAAAGAAGATGGACATCCCCAGCTCAAGAAGGGTGAAATGTCTTTGTGACTTTTTGTTGTGTTTGGGCCTTGTGTGCCTTGGGTGACTCTGTTTACATTGTGGACAGTAGACGACTGTTAGTCCAGTTTCTGCCATCACGGCCTCCCAGAACACCAGCTGTCTGGTCCTCTTTAGCCCTGTCGAGTAGACATCAACTTAATCGCTAACAGAGTGAGGGGCCTCAGCAGGCTTCAGAGGGCACCGAGGAGCCTTCCTCCTGTTCTCTTGAGAGAAGACATTGGGCTCCTAGTAGGAGCAGTGCAGTTGACTGCACTCCTTCATTTGAGGGCACACGATGCTGCTGGCGTTTGCTGTAGTGTCATGTCTCACTGATGCCGATTGGTACTTGAGGTTGTTTATGTGCAGTGCTCTGTGGATCACCAAATGCATGGCTACTGCTTAGGCTTTGACGCCACCTTCTCTGTGCTGATTGTCTGCATGCAAGACAAACACCAAGTGAACACACCTCTTCCTCATCTTTTCCTTCCTTGAAGCTGAGGTGATAGTAATTTTATTAAAGGCCTTTATTTGAAAATAAGTAATCAGCCACCACTTGGGATTCCATTCTCTCCTTTCTAAGTGAATGATTGGACCTTGTTAAAGTGTAAATCAACTATAATGTCCTGGCATTTTCTTGTGTCTTTAAATCTCTTTTGGGCTTCTTTAAAATTCACACTCTGCTTGTTAAGCCAGGACACATTACCGTGTTTCAAATGGCAATATTTAGAGCTTGCTGGAGGGAAGGTTATTCATTTGTTTTGTAATATCTTTTAACTGTGCACATGTCCTACCAGACACACACAGATGTGGACACACAGCCTTGCCCAAGAGTGGGGTCATCTGTGGTTGTAATGTAAGCTGCTTGCTGTGTGGTCGTCCTGAGACTCCCTCCTTCCTTGTCTTAGGGAACAGAGGGTGCAGTGAAGAGCGAACACTGCTGTGTTGTTGGTTTATTCGTTCTTAGATGTTTCTAGTCTAAAAGGTTATATGGTAATGGGCTGTGTTCTTTTCAGTTTGGTGTAGCTGAGCCCAGGAAGAAGGCGTATGCAGATTTCTACAGGAATTACGACTCCATGAAGGACTTTGAAGAGATGAAGGCGGCTGGAATCTTCCAGAGTGCGAAGTGACTTCAGAATGTACAGGTGACCAGTTCCTTGGATTTACGAAAAAGTAGGAATAGTCTTAACCAATTTTAGTTGTCAGTTCAGTGGTGGCAAGCGCTTACCCAACTGCTGCTGTGTGTGAAATTGTCCCCGTACCCTTCTCCCAGACCTTGACTTGTTAGGAATATTAATGTGTTACTACCTTTCTGTGGGGCTGGTTCTCCCTCTTCCTTACTCTGTGGGGTGTGCTTGTGTGCCGTCAGAACAACTCTAGGGATTCTTTATTCAATTCTGCTGACTGCTTTTTAATCTTATTTTAGATAAACCACTCCCTATTTTTGTCGTTGTTCTGTTTTTCTGAGACAGAGTTTTACTATCTTACTGTGTGCCACCATCGCCTGGCCACATCTATTAATTAATTTTTATTTTTAATTTGCATTCCAGAAATTAATCTCTTGGGCTTCATATATGATCAGTCCTTTTAATGGGTAGTTGATTTGTCTTGTTAGTATTGAGGGTTTTTGCATTGCTGTTTGTGATTGTACCTGAATTCTTTTATGTCTGTCTAGTTTTGGTATCAGTTTTAGAATCAATATGGAATTTTTATTCCCTCACTTGTTTTGGAAGAACTTGAGAAGGATTGGGGTTAATTCTTTTTTGGTAAAATTCATCTGATCCTCAACTTTCCTTTGTGATGTTTCTGATTCAGTATCACTAATTTAGTAATTTTAGTCTGCTGTCTAGACTAGTGTCTATTGCTTCTTGAGGTGATGTTGGCAAGTCTTAAACTAGTTTTCATTAAGTTACAAGTTCACTTTTTGTTCTGCTTTTTTCTCTTGGCATCTTAAGATTTTTGAATATACTTGACATTTACAAAGAACCAAGATTTTTTATTACCTATTTATTGCTTTATTATCTAATAATTTCCTTTCTTTTGGTAGCTTTACTAGATCCTCTTTAAATTTGTGTGTTTGAGTTTTTAACTTCTCCTTGTGACTTTCTCATTGATCCATTGATTCTAGAATATTAAATTTGAAGTATTTTGGATTTCTTAGTTTAATTAAGCCAGCGTGGTCAGAAAATACGTATCAAGCCTCCCAAGATTTGTCAAGGCTTGTTTTGTCCTATCATGGTGTCTTAGGGTTTATTACTGTGAAGAGACACCATGACCACGACAGCTCTTACAAAGGAAAACATTTAATTGAAGTGGTGTCTTACAGTTTCAGAGGTTCAGTCCTTTATCATCATGGTGGGGAGCATGGTGACCTGGGGCTGACATGGTGCTGGAGAAGCAGCTAGAGCTGTACATGTTTATCTGCAGGCAGCAGGAACAGACTGCTACACCAGGCTTGGCTTGAGCATTTAAGACCTCAAAGCCCGCCCCCAGTGACATATTTCCTTCAACAAAGTCACACCTCCTAATAGTGCCACTCCCTATGGACCTGTGTGGGCCAGCTTCAGACAAACCACCACATGTCTTAGAGAATTCCATGTTCTGTTACTGAGCAGATGCTGACATATGAATTACAGTTATCTCTTCTTTTAAGCTTTCTAGTTCCTCATCTTTTGTCTAATGTTAGTAGGGTGAGTCCTCTCTCACCCTATTATTGAGCTATTTCTCCATTTCTCTTTTTATTTACTTAATATATGTGGATCTATAATGTGTGGTGTAGGTATTTTTGTTTTCCTTGGCAACGGGTCCCAGTTACCATAATGTTCTTCGTTTCGTGCAGGGTTTTTCTTCCCTCCTTAAAGCTGGTTTTGTTTGGTATCAGGGTAGCTACTTAGTTACTACTTGTAGAGTATCTTTTTCCTTCTTTTCACTTTCTGGGACTTTGATTGGGCAATTTATGCACATGTAAGTTAATTATTGAAGTTTCAATTCTGTTTATTTCCTTTTATGTAAAGTAGTATTTTTGTGATTGAGACACAAAACAATTATAGCAATCTGCTGTAAACTTAACAAATGTAAATTACAGCACAAACATTACCTTATAATGCCTCCCGTTGGTTATTGAATCTGTAAGTTACACATTTGGCATTTATATATGATATATTCATTAACAGATTTATGGTTCTTTCTCAGTGCCTTTGCTCTTTTGGATATTATTAAAGGATTTAAACTGAGATTTAAAAACCAGGAGTACAGTATCATAGACTTGCATCCTTTTACCGGAGCAGTTTATGTCTTTGTGTAGCTTGAAGTTAATGTTGAGGTCCTTCTCACTTCCCCTGGGTTACTGTTGATTAGGTGTTTATTTGGTTCCTGTAGCTTAACTGGGGGTTCTGTTCTCAGACAGTTACTTTGGCTCATAATCTGTCTATTTAGTAAGGAGTTTGAGGTCAGGTGTGGGGACTGTCCAGAGTTTTGTGGTATGCTGTCTTGCTGACATAAATTATATTCAAAATAATTTTGGCATTACCAATTGCTAGGTTGACACATTACTCTGATACAGCAGCTTCAAAAATGCATATTTTAAAGACACCATCTATAGTACTCGTGAGTGCTTTGCTAGTTTGGTTTGTCATGGGGGGGCGGCACTCATGTCTGCTGGACAGTGTAAATTAAGTTTCTGTGTCATCTCCTGACCGATTTTTGAGGGGTTGTTACACGGTCAACACCACTGTTGGTGCTGAACAGGTGGGCAAAAGGCAATTGAAATAAAGATCCTGCCCTCTAATGAGTGTGACGTGGTGTAGGTAACGTATGCAGTTGTTTGAGCATTTCAGCTCTGCCAAAACACGTACCTTTCCAAGGTCTGCGGCAGGCCAAAGGCCTGTTGTACTTTTCTGCTTTAGATGTTTTCAAGTTAATTAACTTTGGCCTAATAGAAGGTCTAATTCTACAATGTTCTATTTCTAGTTATTATCCAAAATGTAGTTAGGTGCTATCTTAATCAGTACTGACCATAGCAACTTAGAGGAAAGCATTTAATTAGGGCTAGATTAGTTTCAGGCACACAGGCAGATCCAGTGTTGGAGAAGGAGCTGAGAGTTCTACATCTGGATTGGCAGGCATCAGGAAGAGAGAGAGAGCCACTAGGTGCTTGGCTGAGGCTTCTGAAACCCTAAAGCCCACCCACCCCCAGTGACAGTTCTTCTAACACGGGCACACCTCCTAATCCCGCTCAAGTAGTGCCACTCCCTGATAAATGAGCCTATGGCGACCCTTCTCATTCAGACCTCCACAGTTGCATGCTCTACATACCCAGAGTGACTGCTCTTTATCACTGTAGTAAACAGAACCAACAACTTTGTTCCGTTGGTAGGAAAATTAGTAGGAATGGTCTTCACCATACCATGGACCAGATTGGAAGCTAGGCAGGTGGTCGGAGAGCTTGACACTAAGCAGCCAGAAATGGGTGAAGGGGAGTGATCAGTGGTAGGTACTAATGACGATTGTGTTTCTCTCCATAGAATTCTTGGGATGCGCTCGATAGAAGTTCATCGCTGACCTGTGTTCCTGAACTATGAAACATGAGTATGTGGACTGAGGAGTAATTTATCTCAATAAACAATTTTATGGATAGTGTTTGCTTGGTTGTTATTATGGATAATTCAGGAGCTTAAAAATCTGACATCTGTTAAAACTCTGGATGAATGTTATAAAGATAATTTGTCAATCTATTATTGCAACACATGTATAATTGCTCTTCTATTTTGCTATTTTGTTGAGATGGGTCCTTCCTGCAGTCACTTGGTCCTGGCTTGAGTCCCCTGGAGTATGTAAGTGGCTGGACTGGTGGCTTTGGTGTTCCAGTCCTGTGAATAAAATCTGTCTTTGCAGGAGGCAGAGGGAAGTGGGCGTCTGAATCTCCAGCTAGAGGCCGGCATAGCGAGTTCCAGGTCAGTGGGGATAGATGGTCAGACACCATTCTTACTACCTGTCCTTGGATTTCCTTGAAACTGTTTGGTAGTGTTACTGTCACCAGAAAGAATAGGTAATTGACATGCTGTTAGAATAATTGCTTTTATTAATGAGTCACAATATGTGAGATATGGAAATACATGTCTTACCTAGTAAAAACACTTAACTAGTACTGAGTCTTATGGTCACTTAAAGTCTGACATGATACATTTTTTATTAGTATCTTTAGAATCTATCCTTTAGAGATTTTGTTGTGACCAAAGTTATATTTAGTTTATGCAAACCTAGTTTTCTTTGTTTTGGGGTACAGGCATTGAACCCAGGGCCTTGTGCACCCCGAGTAAGAGCTCTATGACTGCTTATATCCAGTGTGTGAAATTAAAAAGCAAGTTTGATCAGTGGTTATGCTTACCCTGTTTAACTTTTGTAAGACTCAGTGAGTGGACTGTATTAAAGTAAGGTACCAGTGAAAACCTTTGAACTAAAAACTCAAGACAGACATTTATCCATGGTCAGTAATTCAGGAATACCTTTTATTATATAATTCCTTGCAATGTGTAAAATTACCATAAGTCATACTATCAGTACATATTTACATTCTTAAAAATAATTATTCTTGAGGTTGACAAAATTGTTGCTTTCCTAAATGAGTAACAGACTAATTGCAGAGATGGTTTCATAGTTGGCTTGGATTGTCCGCCGGTGACTTGTTTTCCAGCAGTAGTGACGTAGTGGGGATGTGTGCCCAGCAGCCTTGAGAGTTTAAGGTCAGTCGCCTTTGAAATCGCACTGTCTTACTTAACTGTCGCTTTTCAGTTGAAGGGAACAAGTTGCAGGCCTGGCATGAGATCAAGAGGAGTCACAGAACATTGTGAGACAGCTGGTGACTCCAGGGTTTTCAAAGCCTTTCTGAGAGTTAATGCTTCATCAAGCCAGTTCATGTCATAGAGGACTACCTTGACTGATGGCATTGTTAGCCTTAATGTTGGAGGCAGGCTTTCTCTGTGCAGCCCTGGCTGTCCTGGAACTCACTCTGTAGACCAGGCAGGACTCGAACTCAGAGATCTGCCTGCCTCTGCCTCCTGAGTGCTGAGCTGTGTATACCACCACAGCTCAGCAGAGGTGGGTTCTTAACTCACCCCCATATCCTATGGAGTTCTAGAAGGAAACAAACTTAAAAGCATTATGTTCTGTTATTGTTGGTTTACACAAAGTGTTACATTTTAGCTTGGTAAAAAATAAGCTTTCCAAAATATACCTGAGCAGTTAAAAGTCTGTTTTATAAACCAGTAGAGTGCAGACTGAGGGAGTAGACACTGTTTTTTACTAAAAGAATGGTATTGTAGTTAAGTGAAAAATTAAACAAGCCAAACAACAAAGGTCTGAGTATTACAAGGGTGGTAGTGTTTTATTTCTGGGTCTGTGTGCTAGGGCCTGTCCACATTTTATATGGCAGAGCCAAAAAATAATTTTCTATGTATGGTAAGAACACAGCATATGTAGAATTCTGGCGATTATGTGTTCCTCCCCCACTTGGATGATGATTTTTTTTTTTTTTGGTCACTTGGAGGAGGTATACAGTAAGTATCTTTTTGTTTGGGGAGGTGTGTTGGCCTTGTGTCCGTGTTGAATGTTGGAACGCTGTTGCTCAGCAGAAATGAAACGCCTACTCTGCAGGGGACTCAGGGGAACCCTTTCCTCAGCGCTTTATTCTTTACCATGGTAAATTTACTGATGAAGACCTGAGCACAGTGTGGGTCAACTAGGTAATGGTAGGTCTTAACAGTGGCAGGGGGAGGCTCCACAGCCACCACAGAACATGCTGTTTGCAGGGAATTACAGCTTGGGGCCAGGTGACAAGATGTTTTCGCAATGTAGTCCACGAGCCTGTTAAACTGTTGCTCCGACAGTCTCTCCCGGGCCCCATCCACCTGCATTCCAAAAACAGAGACTTGTTAGTGAGTCACCAACCTCTATGATAGCTTGGTGTCAAAACTGTTTTCCTGGATGCACTTGATCACTGTCTCCTGGGTCGTCTACTGAGCACTTCTGAGAGCAAGCACATGCAACCACATCTCCATGAGTCAGTCCCCTTGAATAGACAGCTCGTTTTGCAAACAATTCCCGCTTAAGGTTAACCATTTGATAGTACTTATTAACTGTTAACACATCTGTCATTCCTTTTTATAAAACAGCCTAGGAACAGAGGAGAAAAATGTCCTCTCTGCTTAAATGTAACCAGTGTGTAACTCAGCATCCCCAGACTAAAGCTGCCCTGGTTCCCAGAGTCTCTCTCCTCAGCCTCAGAAGGCAGGAAGAGGCCTCCTAAAAACAAAACTCCTACGTCTTTTTGAACTGTAACGTTTTCTGTTTTTATAAATACTAGGTTTTAAAGCCAGAAAAAAAAAACTGGGCAGAGGAAGGGGAAATTTTTATGGCAAAAAGGGAGGATGCAAACTACATTTATAGTTCATAAAAGTCTGGCTCATCTTCAGTGGAACTCAAAAACTGAGATAGATAAACTACCTAAGCTCTTGAGTGAGTGAGAGAGACGGTCTGCGGAAGTCCCACCGCTGTCTAGTGTGCAGATCACACCGAGGGGGAATTGGCAGAGCTGGCCACTGGTTTGTAGAATTTAGTAGCCACTGACCTTGTAGTGTTGTGTGATTTTTGTAATCTAAATATTGGCAAAGCCATTCTGGAGGACTTAGAAACCTTTTAGTAGAGGTGTTTTAGTTCTCAGAGTTGTGGTAATGTCAAGACTTTAAGCAGAGCCCAGGAAAAAAGGCTGAAAGTATAAAAGTTGTAAAAAGCTACAGAAAGCAGATAGGAAAGGGGCCTGCCAGAGGAGTAAGGGAAGGCTTGTGTGTATTTCAGCCTGAGAAAGGAAAGCCTTTAAGATGCGCTGACAGATGAAAGCTGTGCACCACCAGGAAAAGGCCAGGGTGGTGATGCTATCGTTTGAGAGGGCCAGCGTTCAGCTGGAGAGCTTTGAGTATACAAAAGGCTTAATTGCTCCTCCTGCCCAGCAGCAGGAGAGCCTGTGTTGTGAGAGGAACCTGGCCAAGGAATAAATTGACCTCCTGACTCATTTCAAGTCTCTCATAGGGGATTTGAATAATGTGCCAGGCATATTAAGCAATTATCCCTAAAAAATGACTGCATTTAACCAAGAAAAGCAATGCTGATTTAGAAGAAAAAAACACCAATCCTGTCATATTTGAATATGCTCAGTGATGTCATCTACAAATTAATTCCCTGCAAAATTCAAAGGAGTTGTGTTTCCAGCCTCTAAGGTGAAATGCTGCTCTTGCTTTTTCACAGCAGCAGGCTTCCTGACCGGGCGGGGGGGGGAGGTTTAGGAAGTTCTGATGTGAGGACAGCTGCAGAACTGTCCTCCAGTGCCCCCAGTACCGCTCCCTCCTACAAAAACACTTAGTGCAGCTCTCGAGCAGAGTGGCGTGGCTGCGAGCTGGAGGTAAGAGGAGATGAAGGCAACAGTGTGGAGCTTGAAGCATGGGCGTCCACTCTGCTTGCGCATTTGACGGCTGTCCCGAAGGACACTTTGTGATCCTCCTCTGACAGCCAATCCTCCATCCCTGGGCTTGAGCAGGTTCATCGCCTCCACCGTCACAGCTGCCTTCAGCACAGGCCCGTGTGTGTCACCACAAAAATCAGCTCTCACCCCATCCCCAAACTCAAGTGCAGATGCGGGTGAGAATTGGGTAGCAGTAAAAGATGAAGCTCATAGCTAAAGATCTGAAGTATTTCTATGTCAACTAAGAACACTGCTCACAGATATTTCTCCAGGACTAAGGACTTGAAGACAACGCTACTGTCCTTTGCCAAATTTTGTAGCCAGATCACTGCTGCTTTATTGTCAGCTGGATCAGAAGATCTCTGACAGATGTAATGAAGTCAGACTGGACACCCGACCCCTGTTTATTCCCAGAAAGTCAGCAGCTGAGAGCAGCAGTGCAGTCCTGGTGCCAAGCCCCAGCTTAAAGCCTGCCTGATTACAGTCCAAGAGACAGGAGAGATCCTAGAGATGTGGTTGGCTGCTCTCCATCTGCTCAGATAATCCTACCCAAGTAATGAGAGGGAGACAGGGTCCTGGATCTGGAGAATTATCATGGAAGAAGGATTGAACAGGTCCTGCTAGGGGAAGTTTTGAAACCTTGGTTGTCAGTCTTCAATGCCCACTAAGGGCCACCTCTATCTCATATAGGAAGATAATTTGTAAAAATTGTGCATCAGTAGTTGGGATGTATGGCTCAGGCCAGCACCTGGGAGGTGCACAGGAAGGGAGCAATGACCCAGTGGGTGCATCTGCTCACGGTAGATTGGACAGTAGGAGACAGGCCACTCTGCTCAGGCAGGGCTTACTTCTGACTCAGGCGCATCCATTCTATGAACACTGCCAGATCCAGTAGCGAGCACATCTGGGGTGCTGCTCCCCTTCTCTAAAGGGGTCACAGGCTCAGGGTGGGGCCTTTTTGGTCCCTTCTGGGCAGCCTACTTTGTCCCCTTTACATTTCTTCCTGTCTCTGCTATATCTCGGCTCCCTGAAAGCGCGCCCCAGTCATCCTGCCTTTGGAACTGTACCTCCACGTCACAGGCTACTCTGGGTTGCTTGAGCTGCACGGTGAGCAGGTTGTTTTGCTTGGTGTCCTGTGCGCAGTCGATCTCTGTGATGGGGAAGGCCTGTTGCTGTGTGTCCTCGCTGATGCTCACGACAAACAGCACTTCTGAGGTCAGCAGCAGGCACCCCTCATGCCCCTGGCCCGAGCCTCTCACCAGAACCACATCTAGGGCCATGTGGACTTCTGGTCTACCCAGAGACTGGAGCATCTTCCTGTTCAAAAGGAAGAAGGAGGTCAGGAGCCAGCCTAAAAGACAGCCACAACAGCTCTCACTGTATGTCAGTGATTGGATTGGGGCGTGTCCCCTTAAAACAAACCCCCGAACCAAGCCCTTCCCCAGGGCAAGCTGGACTATTCACATTAGCTTAACATTACAGTAGTCCTGTGTTTACTATAGCTGGCTAAATGTTGTCACTTCTCAGGTTGATTCTGGTCTGCAGAGCCTGGCTCCTGGAGAGGAGATTTTCTTATGCTTCATTTAGCTATTTTCTTCCCATCAGGAATGACCCCCCCCCCAATTACATTTGATCCTTGCTGCAGGCCCAGACTTAACAGTGTGCTATGTTAGGAGGTCCAAGTAGAGCAGACAATTTTGTCTCCCGTGTTGCCCCAGGCTGGTCTTGAACCGACAATCCTGCCTCAGTCTCTTACATGCTTTCCTGGTTCTACCGCACCCAGCCATGGAGCAGATCTCTCTCTACCCAGCATCAGCCTAGGAAGAGCAGTCCGGTGTGGGACTTGGATCCAATTAGCAGCCTTTCTCTAAAACTGCCCAAGATGCTGATGTCAAAGTCAGCTGTTCCTGTGGTCTCCCCTAGACCCATGCCCATTAGCAAGAGAGCAAGCCAGGCTCTGTCAACATACAGTGTGAATGTAAACTGGGTTAGTGGCTCAGGAATCTTACCAGACGTATTTGACATGGCTGTTTGGAGCTTGGTCAGCATGTAGATCTCTTGGTTGGTACCGTTGTTTGGGAAGCTGGGAAAGCCCGGCTCCATGTAAAATACCTGTGGTGTGCCAAGCAAAGGAATTGTACTACATATTGTCTGGAAAACAGTTCTGTGCTACAGTGTTATCTCACAGCTACCGTAAGATGTTACATATTCAAAATGAGGTCTCATCTCTGGAAGTAAGTGTAGATCACCATTAAACCATTGTTTCCACAGGGGTCACCTGAGACCATCAGAAAACATGTTTACATTACTATTCATAACAGTAGTAACGAAAATAATGTCATGGTGGTTGGGGTCTCCACAACATGAGGAACTGTATTAAAGGATCACAGCATGAGAAAGGTTGAGAACCATGGACTTAGGAAGCATAAAGCTCATGAGAGAACTGGTCATCAAAGTACCTTACATGTCATTTAAAACTTCCTTGTTTTAAAACTTGATGTTACTTGGCTTTGCTGCTTAGTATACATTATATCTGTTGTGACTGGCTAAAAAAAACAACACAACTAAAAAAACATACAAAGGCACATGGTTTGCCTAGATACAGTATTTAAATTTAAATGACTTAATCCAGCTGTTAAACAAGATTCTGTATACATTTGAGTGCTCTTGGGCCTCTGGTTTATTACATGCTTTCCCTGGTGCCAGCACCAAATGAGGGCACCCAGCAGCAGCAGCCACCTAACCTCCAGAGAGACTGCAGAGCCAAAGATGGTACAGCGTGTGTGCTTTCTGGGGGCTTGTAAATGTTTATAAACGAGGCGCAGTCATTAGACCAAGAGTTAGTGGTTTGTAAAACCTTCAGTGTGGTAATAAAAGTTTTACAAGAGTGATGGAAACCAAGAAGGCTATGTGAAGCTCTGCTCTGTGATCTCTGCGAAAGTCCTAAGCCTGGGAAACCTAAGCACAATGGCCTCCTAACCCAAGCAGCGTACGAATACAGCCTTTGAAGCAGCTTGTACTGTCCCTCCCCGAGTGAGTGAGGGGGTGGGTGGACCTGCCCTCCGCAGTGGAGACGGCTGGGAGCATGGCTGCCAGTGTGGTCTCTCAGCGGATGCTCGGGATGTGTGCCCTGATGAGGCTGGGTCTTGTCAGAACTGAAGCACAAGACGCCTGCAGTGAAATGTGTCCTGCTGACTGTCTGGCCAGATGCAGACAGCGGCTGTGCTGTCTGGTAAGTGGGTGGCCCCTCCTGTGGCATGAAATGCCAGCTAACTTGCCTGCTGCATGGCCAAAAGGATGCTATCAAGGTTAAGTAAAAAGGTAATTGTAGTCACGTGTTTACTTCCTGGCTCTGCCAAGAGGCGCCTCCTCCACACCACCCACTGTGCACACGTACACGGGCATGCTGGGGACTTGGTCTGGCACTCCGCCACAGCCCCGGGTCTCCCAGCATCCGCTTGGGAAAGGGATTTTAGCTGTACACCATGTGCCTTTGCCCTCATTGGCCAGGAGACTCAGCGCTGGAAAGTGCAGATGAGTCTCCGAGATCAGTGAGCACACTCCCCTGCTCTCATAGTCAACAGGCATGTCTTCCTGTGTGTCCCTCCCCATTTATCACATGAAAAGTGATCACCCTTTCCTCTGGTGCCATACTGTTGGGGACTTCTAACTGGTTACGTTTTATACTGTAAAAAAAAGCATGAAATAGTTGAAATTACTGGTGTTAGGAATCGACAGTTGTCGTTCTGTAAATAAACATTAGGATACAAGAAAGATAGCTACTTTTACTTTTCACCCCTTGCCCTTGTGAAAGGCTAGATTCAGAGAACCTGAGGAGGAATGTGCATTGATTAATAAGATCTCAGTTGACCTGACTTTTATATCCACTCACCATAGCCAGTCTGTGACACGAGTTCTGCAGCTCCCCCAATGGGTTTGGTGAACACCCCCATGATTCCTTTCCCCACGCCTGAAATGACGCCCTTGGCCCTGTGTCCTGCCGAAGCCTGGGTCTCGGATGTCTTCTGGAAGTTCTGCATTGGCTGATCAACTATGCCAGCAATTGCACCTGAAATGAATGTTTCACGTGAGGACGGAGGCTTCACGTCTTCAACTTATGAAGACCTCAGCCTGGAACTCACTTTAAACTGAAAACGAATCCCCGCCCTCCTCATAACGTCTGATTTACCAGGGACACTTACACTAGATGCTTTCTTCATCAAAACTACTCAGGTTGTTTCTGATTCGTAAGGATCTTGAAACTTGAGACTTCCGAGTGTTCTCTATAGTAGTACTTTCTCATTTTTTGGGACTGCCAGCCCACAAATAATGACTTAGTGGTTATCAAAGCTCGGCTTTAGCTTAGGCTTGTTCCTAACCCGCTCCTATAACTATAAATTAATTCGTATTTTTAAATCTGTTCTTTCCTATGACTGCTACCTCATCTCCATATTTCCCAGTCTGCTGCTTCTGTCTCACTGGCAACTCGACCTTACATCTTCCCAGGGTTCTCTCTGCCCAGAAGTCCCGCCTATACTTTCCTGTTTAGCTATTGGCCATCCAGTTCCTATTACTCCAATCACAGCAATACATCTTCACACACTGCACAAACATCCCATGACAGTTACCCATGTGCCTTTCTCAGAGAACACATTTTGGGGAGAAAGCATTGAGAGCCTGTGTAGTCCAATAAACTTACCTGGGAGGTGGTCAGTCCCTTTCTGTGCCCCCACTTTTTGTGGGGGTGGGGCAAGAGGTGCCTGTGGAGGTTTTGGCTAGGCTGGTTGCCCAGTGAGTGCCCAGGATCCATCTGCTTTGTTCCTGGTATATAACTATGTAGTTATGCCCTGATGCTTCAGGGTTTCACAGCAACCACTCTTACTCACTGGCCTGTTTCTCCACTCCCTTGACTTAAAATGATCATTTTCTAATAATTCAGTATTATTACTGTTAACATCTACTTAATAAAAGTAACCGTTGACAGGGGAGGTGGCAGCTTCCAGCTGGTCCAGGTTGTCTTGGCTCCTGAGAACAGAGCAGCACTCTTGTAGGGAGGGCCCTCAGCTAGAGCATCAGGTGCCCCTAGGCTCTATAGGACAGGGCCACAGCTGCATGTGGGGATGGGGACAGGGAGCAGTGCAGCCGAGACCCAGGGCCTGGAGTCTTTGGAAACTGGTTTGTAGGAGTGTTTCTTGTAGCCCAGGCAGTCTTCTAAGTCACTGCACAGGCAAGGATGGCTTTGACTTCCTGACCCTTAGCCTGCACCTAATGACTGGGAGAAACAGCTGCAAATATAGCCAGATTGTTGCCAATGTTTTGGGTGAAAATGCCCTCTCATTATACCTATGGACTCTGGGTTGGGGGTGGTGTTTGCCTCAGTTGGGATATTCCCACATTGCCCTTTCATGTGTCAGCTAACCTGGGAAAGGAATGTGCCCTTTATAGCTGAGAGTATCCACATGGGGTGCTCACTTCTGTCCTTAAGTGTAAACAGGTACCTGGGTGAAACTCCCTTTTGATCTCATACTCTCTGTACTTACTGAAGACTACAGTTGCAGTGGCTTTGATAGATACACCCCTGAGACAGCTAGAAAAGTGGGAACCCTGAACTCCAAGACCGAGTCAGATTCCCCCAGTGAGAGGAAAGTGGGAACCCTGAACTCCAAGACCAAGAGTCAGATTCCGCCAGTGAGAGGAAAGTGGGAACCCTGAACTCCAAGACCAGGAGTCAGATTCCGCCAGTGAGAGGAAAGTGGGAACCCTGAACTCCATGACCAGGAGTCAGATTCCCCCAGTGAGAGGAAAGTGGGAACCCTGAACTCCAAGACCAGGAGTCAGATTCCCCCAGTGAGAGGAAAGTGGGAACCCTGAACTCCAAGACCAGGAGTCAGATTCCCCCAGTGAGAGGAAAGTGGGAACCCTGAACTCCAAGACCGAGTCAGATTCCCCCAGTGAGAGGAAAGTGGGAACCCTGAACTCCAAGACCAGGAGTCAGATTCCGCCAGTGAGAGGAAAGTGGGAACCCTGAACTCCATGACCAGGAGTCAGATTCCGCCAGTGAGAGGCACTGCCTGTCACTCGCTTCAGTTCCGCCCCAGACCCTGCAGTGATCAGCACCCACCTCCACACAGCCAGGGGCCGTCTTCCGGCTCACTGACCATCGGGTGGGTGCCACTGGCGCGGTCTGTGCTAATGATCTGGGTAACGGGCCATTTAGAGAAGAATAGCCATCCCCCAGCCGGCAAAGCTGGCTTGAGGGAAGCCGCTCCTTGGCTTCAGGAGGGCTAGGCGGCCTCTTCGCAGGTACAATCCAGCCAAGCCCCACCACGGCTAAGTTATTTACTGTCATACTCTGGGCTGCTCTGAGGCTTAGGCGGTGGAAACTGATCTCAAGATTTGTCTGTTGGCAACCGGCCTGTGGAGTGGGGGGCCACATGGAGAGTGCTGTAACGTGATGAAGTGAGTCTAGGAGGAGGGGTGGGTGGGAGGGTGGGGAGCAGGGGAGCAGCCTGCTCAGACTCCGCGCTGTAGGGGGGCTGTCCTGAAGAAGCAAGGAACTACTGCGCGCTTCCTCTCTCCTGTGGCCAAGACAGAGGTGAGACTCAGTCCAGCCACATCAGTCTAGTTAGGCGGTAGCAGAGCCAGGGCTCGGGGGACATGGAAGTGGTCAGCGTTTCCTAGCCAGGCTCCAGGGCACAGAAGCCACATGTGTGGCGGGTTGGGCAAGCAAAGCCCGTGCCAGTTCTGCAGGCCCAGCAGTCCCCAAATGTGACTTGGAGCCACCCGGACATCATGGGCTTTCAAGTGCTTTACAGTGCCCCAGTGCCCCAGTGCCCCCAAGCAGGCAGAAAGGGGGCACATTTAGGAGAAATGCACTTTTCCTACCCTGGAACTCTTAGTTCATTGCGCTGGGAGCCCTGAGAGGAGGTGACACGGGAAGGAGGCCAGTTCTTGTTGAGTAGTCACTTAATGTTTAACATCAAGCCTGTCATGGTAGAGGAGTGTCAAAGTGCTGTGACTACCCTAAAATGCTCTGTGACTATCCCAGTAGCTGAGTCCTCTACTACACAAGGGAAAGTCGGAGCAGCCACAATTGCAGTCCCCACCGTGGGCTCCAACTTGAGCACAGCACTGAGCTACAGTGTGGCTTTTTAAACACTTCCTGGGCATCAGTTAGAAATGGTGACCCGAGGCTTACTTCTCTTCCTCCTGGCCCATATCGGACGTTCTGGGACCACGCCCCATTGAACAGCTTGTGTATTCTGTGAGACACACACGCCCTTGGACCCTTGGAAGAAAGGAAGTCACTTCAAGCTGGAGCCATTTACTGTGAACTCTGAGGAGTCCAAATGTCTGCAGAGTCTGGATTGGAGCTCCTGGGGACCCAAGCGGGCTAGTGCTGCGGCACTGGTGGTAGGGGCGGGGTGGATGCCACTGTCATCCTTAGATGCAGATGGTGCATGGGCCACCGCCATTTCCAGCACAGCAGAGGACAGTGAGTCACTAAGGACAGCAGAACTCTCTGCCCCAAGGTAGATTTGTGACAGAGGAAGCTGCCTGGTGGCAGAGTGTCCTTGTGGCTTTGAAGACTATAGAATCCTAGGACTACAGAGGGTCAAGACCAGGATTGAGATGGCTTTGATGCCAGCTCAGAGCTCTTGAACATGGGAAGGAAGCATTCATACCAAAGCAAAGGGCACCCGATTCTTAGCTTCACACAACCCAAAGTCCTCCAGGATACCCTGACTGTCATTCCCTCTGGACAGAGTCACTTCATCCCACTGGACTTCTAGAACATTCCTGGAGTTGCTCAAACACTGTAAGTCAGGACAATATTTACAGTAGAATCGGTGTTGTAGAACATAACACTGATTCGTGTTTGCCCCGTATGTGCGCCGTGGCCCCTGCCTACCCACTGTTTCTCATAACTGCATTATCAGCCCCAGTTTACAAACAAATCCTGGGTTAAAGGAATTAAAAACGTGCCTAGGACCACTAAGAAAGGACTTGGATGACCTAGCCTGGAGTCCAGGGCCCCAAGGGACACAGTTCCATCCACTGTCATCCCACCCTCTACCCCCACCAAGAGTCCCGTGGCCTTTGGGTTGCAGAATCGAGCAAGGGGACCACTGGTTTACCCAGTACTCATCCAAGGTCCCTTTCCACACGCTATCAAGTGACAACAGCCCATGCCGAGGGCTGTGACTGCTTACACGATCTCTAGTGACTTAACCTGTGTGCATAGGATTCACCGCGTCCTCCCATAGCCTCAGCCTGCTGTGCTGCTGGGCGGGCGGCAGCTGGGTGGGTCAGGATGGAGGGAGGCGGCGCCCTTTGTGCTCATCTCTGCCCTGCGCTCTGCCACTTTGATCTCTACATACTGCCCGCTTCCTCAGAGGTGTGGCAGGCAGGGTGCCAGGCAGCCCAGTTTTAAATTCCTTTGCAAGCAAATAAACAAAAAACATCCTTGAAAATCCCGCCCTGCAAATTTCTAGCGCTGAAGCCTCCTCCTTTTTATAGGTTTTTCCAAAGCAACTTATTTTGAAACACTCGATACTTTCAATATCCACAGCAGTCTTCACCTCCAAGTAGACCATCTGGCTGCTTGACGAACAACAATTGCTTTGAGATGGGCGGATCTGAAGTAAACAGATCCAAGGGGCGGCTGGCTCCTCGCTACAGTTTACACAGACAGTACACACGGCTCAAGTGCTGCTCAGACAAAAGCGGGCGGCCGTGGTTATGGGGAGTGAACGCTTCGGCAAGGCTGCTGGCTACTCCTGTGCAGTTACCCTTTGCGCTGAAGCCCGTGCACCACGCCCATGGCTAGACAGGGAAGGGAGAGCACGGGCACGGTACAGGGTGGTCTCTTCCCCGGGCAGTGCTGATAGCCCTGTTAAGGAGCACGCCTCTGTGGAACCGGTCCTGTCCCAGTGCTCCACAGATGCCCTGCGGGCGTCACGGCAAGTGTCCGGCCCTCTCTAACCTCAGCTCTACCTGCGAAAGGTCACTACCTGCGCCGTGGTCATGCCTGGGAGAGCTTGCAGAGCAGACGCACGCGAGCGCCCTTACCGAGCAGGCTGATGCCCAGCCTAGACAGGCCTTGTCGCAGCCCCTCGCCCAGGCTCTCGGGGAGCTGTCGCCGCCACTCCTCTTGTCGGCTGCAGTGCTCCTCATCCAGCGAGAGCCTGTCCATGTTCCTGGCCAGGCTGGTGGCCAGGTTGGTGATGGACGTCAAGGTACCTGAGGGTAGGAGAGCATGGGTTGGTTCCTTGTCACAGACATGGTGGATGTGAGGTGTTAGCCCTGGAGGTTTGTAGGCTGAGATGAGGAGAGAGCCCCCCAGCAACACCCGAGTCTCCCTAGTATGCCCAGTGGGGAGTGACACTCTCTTCCTCTAGAGCGTGGGAGTGCTGGAACTCTCCAGTAGAAGTTTTACACCCTTCTGATCATTTCCTGAGACTCGGAGAAATACTTCTGGAGCCCTCCATGGGGCCCAGTTTTAAAAGGTTAACGTTTACCTACTCTGGTGTGTATGTATGTGTGTGAGTGTGTGTGTGCGTGTGTGTATGGTGTGTGTGTGCGAGTGTATGTGTTTGTTTGAGTATGTGAGTGTGTGTGAGTATGTATGTGAGTGTGTGTATGTGTGATTGTGTGTGTGTGTGCGTGTGTGTTAATGGAAACTGAAGTTCGGCCTTGCTTGCACTACGTAAGCATTCTATTACTGACCACATCCCTAGCTTACCTGCTTTTCTGAGCTCATTTTACAGACAAAGGTTATGTTGCTTAGTTTAGATGGATTACCAAGACATGTTCCCACTTTAGAACTAAAATTATCGTGTTTTTATGAATTCAGTCTGCTCCCTCCCTCCTCTCTCCTCTTATGCAAGTCAGATTGGCTTTGAACTTGGGACCTCCTCAGCAAGGGTGACCATGCCTGCCCGTGAATTCATTAAACTCACACCACTAGGCGATCTGTGGATACAACTATTTACTGCAGAACATTTATGTAGTTTTGGTAATCAAGATGCTGATGGATGAAAAAGGCAACAAAGGGACCTAAGCAAGGATTCTATTTGGCTTCCCTAAGGCAGACAACTTCAGCCACATGCTCCATTGGTGCTACCCTCCAACAAGGGCATACATGTGTGCCTCAGCCAGCAAAACCGGAAGGAAGACACCAATGGAGAAGAAATGGCGTGGCATTTGTGCAGCTGCCATCTACCTGTGGTGACTGCACACACGCACGCACATGTGCAAGCACACACACGCACCCTCACGTACTCACACACACACACACACACACACACCCCCCATACACAATAATAGTAAAAACCAGTCGGGACGCTAAATTTACCACCGAGGTTCAATTTAGCAGGTGTTTGCTGTCATACTGTAAACAGAAACAAGAGAATCTCAGAGATCGCATGGCGGGAGTGAGGAGCCCACCAGGCACACAGCTGTGAGTCTCCTGGGATCTGGGGGAGGCTCCCTTTCATTGTCCATGGAATTTGTTTTTATTGCTTTTGCTGTTCTCCTGCCAACCCCCCTCCTGTAGCCCCCATCCTCTCTATGGATCATGGGTTCTCGTATTTCAAGCTTAAGTCTTCTTTTGAGGCCTTCTAGAGACTTCCGTAAGCTGCCCACTCATAACAGAGTTATGGTGTTGTCTACAGTACAGTGCCTTTTATGGACAAAGGAGGCCTTTGCCCTGTTTTCTCTGCCTCCCGCTGAGAAGCAAAGGGGACTCAGATGGCCCTTGTTAGTTCCCTAGTCACTGCCAACCTGACCAAAATATCAGGCACACACTGGAGGATGAAAACATTCTCCTGGTGGGGAAGCGGTTTAGTCTCCCTGCCTGGTGAACTGCCTGGACCACAAGATGGCACTGTGTATGCAGGGAGCTGGGGTGGAGCTGGCCTAGGGATCTGCTTCCCCATTACAATGTATCCACATCCTTGAGAGCTATGGCAACTGTATCTACATTTTAACAATGTATCCACATCCTTGAGAGCTATGACAACTGTATCTACATTTTAACAACGTATCCACGTCCTTGAGAGCTATAGCAACTGTATCTACATCATAAAGGCATGACAAGGCAACTGAGGTGGGGTTTCTGACGCTTAGCGGAAATCATGGCCGCCTTCCATCTTTCTACGTCCACTCCATGGAATAACGGTTGAGCCAGTCCATGTTTTCTCGATGAGAGGTTTAAAACCCTCAAGATTCTGGGGCATTTTCACACAACACAGGCAAGCAGCGACTTGCTTAAAACCTAAGGCAGCATCACGCATGCGCTTTGCTGCAAGCCCAGCATCACACAGCAAGCCGACAGCGTCGGGAGCTGGAGGCTGGGTAAATGGAAGCTGGGTAAATGGACGACAAGACAAGGTGCTCCACCCACAGCTACCTTTGGAAATGTGCTTGACGAATGATGTGGTCCCTCTGGAGACTCCACTCACGAAGGCCCCGGGGCCTCGCGTCAGCCCCTCGTAGGGAAGCCTGAAGAAGTCGGAGATCCCATTTCCAATGCTTCTCACTAGGCTGGCGGGGCTGCCGAGGATCTCTAGGGACCCCACGACCCAGCCTGCAACGCACAAAGGGAAGGAGTTACTGAGACCTTGAGTTTAGCGCTTTCAACATTGGTGAGATGTGGCCTCTTTTCCCTGAAATTCCCTTTCACATGAGAACGGAGGGTGTCATAAGCTTTTCTGGAGCAAAACATGGGAAATAACTCATTCTCCGTGAATGCATAAATGAACTTTCATACTTTATAAATCACACTGATCCTCTGCAGCCTTGCAAATGGCTTTAGTATGACTTCTGTCTCTAAACCTCCTGCACCCCTGTAAAGGGAACCATGTGCAAAGGAACCCCGCCCCCAGGCTCAGGCAGGCAGGCGTTCTGGGCCACAGGTGCCTCCAGGCCGGGAAGTCCCAACCTGCCAAAGGGCAGCGGCAGCAGCAGGAGCTGCCTGGTGGGGAGAAGCCAGATGCTAACTAGGGTGTTGCAAAAGGGATGCAAACTTTTGCCAAGGATGGAGGAGTTATTTTTAATCTTTCCCAATCCCATCAAGCTGAGCGCTTCTCTGAGTGGGGAGCTGGAGAGAACAAATGTCCCCCCTTCAACCCCAGCTTCACTTGTGTAAACATCAGTGACAGGGACATACTGATTAGGTTAGCGAGAGGGAAGTGTTCCCCATCAATGTCCCGGGAGGGCGGCTCTGGGTTTGGTTTCCTCTTTAAACTCAGGCTTGCCAGGAGCTGGCCTGTTCAGCGGCCTCCACAGCCTCCTGCCTCGTGGGAATGAGGCTTCAGTGCGGCCACAGCAGCTGCCTCCCCTTCCGCACGGGGCTTGGGGGGCTGTAAGCCCAGAGGACTCCAGGGTCAGGTGCAGGGAAGCTGAAAAAGCAACTTCCTCCAGGAATCTTCAGGCACCAGCCCGGTACTGCGGCCTTTTTATTGGGAAAGCTGTGAGGACAGAACCCGTGTGGCACCTGTTCCCTCCCTCCACATAAAGTCTGGGTGACAGAGAGCCACAGTTAAGTCACCGGGTCTCTGTCAAGGCAGAGAGAGAAGGGTGCCCGTAAATTCTGAGCCCTTCTCTCTGGGACACCGGAAAGACAAGATGGGTCTCAGTCACAGCGGGAGTGCGGCCACATGGGGCAGTGCTCATGGAACCCTCCAAGCAGCAAAGCAAAGGGCCGCACGCACCCCAGCTGGGCTCAGAGCTGGATGGATACGGGAGGCAGATGCAATCCCACTTGGTGTTGTGGGATTCTACCTCCACTGGCCAGGAAGCAGAGGGTTCTACAGCTAGGGTTATGTCACTAAGTCACAATCTCTAGATGATCAGACATTAGGTTAGTTTAGTTTACTTGATCCCTGTCCTCACCCCCGCCCCCAGGAAAGTAGGGTCATGTGGGAGAAGTTATTCCTGAAAAGTGCTCTGTGGACATTAAAAGAAAAGCAGATTTTCCTTAGTCTAGAGCGATCATGAGGTCCCGCCCAAGGGCTGGTTTAGAAACTTTGGATTCTGTGACCGCTGCTTCAGATTTGGAAAGTTGGGAACACAGAGGGCTACAGCCCAGCCTTGTCTCCTAGCTCCCACCCAGCTACTGGGATTCCTTTCCTGTTCTTCGCAGTCAGATGAAGGGTGATGCTGACATTTCCTCCGCTATGGTCAGTGAAGCCTGATGCCACCAGACAGCTGTCTATGGCGTGAGACGCGGCTTAGTGGCATCTGTGCTGGATAGGGAAGGCAAAGGATCCAAGGATACTCTTCGTTCGCTTTCCCCAAAGTAAATGAAGTGGTCCCCCAGCATCCACTAAGCACCAAAGTCCACAGATGTCCAGGCCCTGATGTACAGAGTGTGTGTTCACTGAGCCTCTCCAGCCCTGCAGTGCATGGAAACCACCTCTGGGTTGCATAACACTGAGTGTAATGCAAAAGGTGCATCAAATGCTTTTGTGCAGAATTTAAAAAGTTTATTGCATTCACTATTTGTGTGCATGTGCGTGTGTGTGCGTGTGTGTGTGTGTGTGTGTGTGTGTGTGTGTGTGTGTGTGTGTGCGCGCGAAGGCCAGGGTACGCTGGAGGAGTCCGAAGATGACTTTTAACAGTCACGTCCACCTTTGCCCACTGGGCCAGCCACCGGCCACCTTGCTGGCCTCTTTATTCTGCGTGTTGAAGAGAATAATGTCAGGAAGGGAAGTCTAGTTCACATGTGATTCTTCTGGTATCCTCAGGCTACAGTTGGTTGAAGTTGAGAGTGCAGGGGGCCACCTGCCTAACTTTGGCTTAGCTGTTTGGAAATGCTGTTGATAACCTGAGTCTACCTGGCCTAGTATGAGATTGAATGCTGGAGGTGGGCCTTGGGAAATTCTCAAGCTACGCCCCCCCAACCCCGAGTAGGGTTACTCATCTCTAGTTAGCAGTAATTTATTTCTAAAGCCTCTGCAAGTGACTTCACAAACTTCCCTGGAAATGAGGTCAGGGTGTTTTCAACTACCCCAGCCAGGAACCTTCTGGAGTCCAGTGGTGAACGCTGACCCATGAGATGGATACGACCTGCTTCCTCCCAGCCAGCCCTTGCCCTCTCTCTGCAAGAATGCCAGTCTGTTGTCCTTAGACCTGTCGGCCCCCTTCGGGTAATATTTAGAGTGACCGTAGGGTTCTACTGATAGTGTTTCCAACAGCTCTGAGAAGTCTGGCTTCGGGATTAGAATCTCTACTGACAAAGTTTCCTACAGCTCTGAGAAGTCTGGCTTCAGGATTAGAATCTCTTTCTTGCTACATACTAGACTGAAATAACCACAGGCTTTTGAGTGAATCAGAAAAGGCCCAAGAGAGTGTTCACAGGAGACCCCAGCCCCGTAAATCAAGGCGGCCAGCTCAGCACTGTGGTGATATGTTTCTTGCACAAATAAAACCAGTCTGAGAGATCAGAGAGAAGGAGCAAGCCACAGCACACCTTACTTCCTAAGTAAGGAAGCTTTTCAGCAAAGAGAGCGATTTCCTGTTTCTCCCTGCTTATATCCTGTTTCTGCACAGCTACGTCACTTCCTGTCTGTCTGTGCAGACCTCCAGATCTCTATGGTTAGCTAGTGGCAAGCTCCATTCTCTGACCCCCAGAGGCTTTATTTGTGCAAGAAAGGTATCATGACACAGCACAAAGGCCCCAGAGGCCATGGTTACTTGGGTACAGGTGAGGTGTGTTCATTAGCTCATCTTCCGAGCCTGGTGCCAGCTGTGAGTGCAGGGACCCTTCCTTCTTCCTAGGCCTTTGATTGGAGCTGCCAAAAGCCAATCTCCCAGAAGGCTAGGTGTCTGGGGTGGTTTGCAGATTACACACATCTATTCACTTTTAGTTGACTTCTCAGAAAGGGGGAGCTATTTTCTTTACTGCTGTGCAAACTGTGCAGACAACAGGTCAGTAGGGCTCTCGGCCAACAATGGCTGTTTTCTTCTACCGTGAAGTTAGGACAGCCATCTCCTCTCTCTATGATTTCATTTCATGCATGTAGCGTGATTGCTGGCCTGGCATCAATGGTGATACAGTCATTGGCTGCCACAGTCTGAACAGTCAACAGTGATTCATTCACAAGCACAAGGCCTGGAAGACAGCAGTGCTTACCCTCGTCACTCTGGAAGTCAGTCTTCGGGTTCCTTACTAGAGAAGACTTCACAGAACCAAGTATGGACACTGCTCTTGACAGGAATGCTAGAGACTACGTGACCAGGCGACCAACCTGGACCTGTCTCAGGGTTCCTCACTGAGCCAGAAACGCTGCTCTGGAGACCACGGCTGTCAAGCAGTTGGGTCCACAGGGAGTCAGCCGACTTCTCATCTTTAGTACATGGTGCTCCCCACGGAAACGCCGTACTCACATCAGACACCCCTGCAGGCTCTTCCAGCCTGGCGGGAAACACAAGCCTCACCTCTCCCCTGGGCCCCTAGTATAAGGCACCCATCAGCCTGCAGCAGGCCACCTGCCTGCCACAGAGCAGAGGGTAGAGGGATAAGCAAGGACCATTCTTCCTTGCTGGATGAGTCTGTGGAGAACAGAGCTGCCAACAGCTTTCTCTGAGCTGTCTAGACAGGTAGCACCTGCAGGGATGCCCAGGGCTCTTTGGATATCACAGATGCTTTGAACAGCAATGAAGAAAACTGTCCACCTAGGACAGGAGCTGAGGGCCCCGGCTGGCCTTCCTGGCTGTGTGAGTGTGCTGACAGAGTCTTGTGCCTGCAAGGTACCAAAAGCGCGCTGGCTAAATGTAACTAATCTCAGGGTCTTAGGTCCACTTTACAGACGAAGACAGACACAGGGAGAGGCGTGACTGTCGTCACCCAAGCCTTACACCACCAGAGTTAGACGCGTAGCCTGCATGCATTGCCCCTCCCTGCTTTCCCCTTTGCTAACACACATCCCCCTGCCCCCGAGTGCCGTCTCTGTCCAGGTGCTGGCCCCCCACGACCCTCCACCTGCCTCCTCACCTGCTCGGAAAAGAGCCCCGGCAGCATAGTGCATGGCCAGCGCGTGTACCAGCTGCCTCGCCGTTGTGAACACGGGTCCTCTTTCAAACACGGAGAAGGAGAGAGGGGTGTGGTCGGAGGCAATGTACAGCTTGAGAGACGCGTGGATGCTGACGAGCAGGCTCACTGGCTGAATGACCAGCTTCCGTAACTTCACCGGGTTCACCAAGGCCCTGGCGTGCTGCCTCACCTGCGCGGGCAGCAGCTGCCTCGCCGCAGAGAGCTGTGCAGGGTGACCAGCCACCCTGCTGTGAGGAAGGTAGGTGTCGAACAAGGTTTTGATGTAGTACACAAAGGTGTCCTCCACGTAGAGCCGTGCTGGTTTCAGCTCAAAAGAGAACTCGCTGACATCAAAGAGGAAGTCCGTCCCCTCAGACCCGGTGAGGCAGAGCCTGATGAAGCAGTTCTGCTTGTATTCCTCCAAGTCCTTGTCGGAGGTCAGGAGACTCTGCACTCTGGAGTAGCGCGCAGGCTCTGGTCTCTCTCCCTGGCACACCAGGACAGGGAAGTGGAAGCTGGACTTGCTATAAAGCTGGTTGTCCAGCTGCAGGTCCCCAAGGCAGACTTCCACACACAAGAGCTGGAGGAGGGCGGAGGGAGGCTCTTCCCCCGGGAGGACCCCAGGCACAGGACACACGTGCAGAAAAATGTTGTCCACCGTGAGCCTTAGAAGCTCTGACGAGGTCTGGTGGTGTGTGAGGTCATCAGACACGGCCAGGCTCAAGCGGGTGAGGAACATCTTAAAACTAACCATCTTCTCCAGGGCTCTAGAGGAAGGCAGAGCTTGTTAGTGTTCCTGGTTTCTTCTTTAAGGACACTGACTCACTGGGGACCCCATGGTGGGACAGATGCTCATAAAAACAAGTAAGAACTCAGCTTTCAGTGCACGTCTGGACAGAGCCAGCTACGCTTGAAGATTATTGGGAAACATTCCCATTGGGACTATTACAAGCTCTTGTCATGTTTTTGTGTGTGTTTTCTCTTATCAACGCCAGATTCCTTTTCTTGCTCCAAATTCCTCATTTTTGTGCACTAATTCTCTGTTATGGTGACCACGGCAGAAAGAAAAATAAACAACACTCCTTATGTAAAGGAGATAAGCTCAGCTCAGCATATACCTATGACCACTGCTAGCAAGTGTGTGCTGCCCTCTCTGTCCCCACGTCCAGAGCTGAGGAGCCCCTGGCCAGGTCCTGGCCCTCTTTAGGGCACTTCACACCCCCCTCCCAAAGGGCCACGTGTCACACTCCTCCTCAGTGCTGTCCACGCACCGTCATGAGCAATCAGAACCTGTACAGCCTCCCTCCTCTATCTCCTCCATTTCTCCAGTCGCCTTCAGTGGAAACTAAGCATTCCCATACACCGTATCTGATTCCTCCCTTTCTGTTCTCCGGAGCTTGCTACAAGCAAGCTTGTGCTCCCTAGTCTGACAGAGTCACCCCGTATCAAGGTCACTAGCGCTAAAGAAAAGCAGACTTTCATCTCTGCACTGTCTGTCGCTGTTAGGAGCCCCCTCTCCCAGGACACACGCCCTTCCTGGTGAAAAGAAAAAGGGGGTATGGAAAGGATAGGGTAAAGGGCAGACTACTGGATCTACTTTAAACTAAAAAGCAACTATTAATCTCATATATTTTGCATTGGTATGCATTTTTGTATATTGACACAAATTTAAGGTTATTTTTTGTTAGAGCATACTCTATATGTTTCTACTCTTGTTTAAGATATTTTTGTATATTGATATAAATTTAAGGTTACTTTGTTTACTATACATATATGTTTCTACTCTTTTTTAAGGTATTGTATCTATGAAGCTCATTTAAAAATGTAACGTATAATTGAAAAAGACAGATCAGTTGTTAATCATCTAACAATCAAATAATGTAAATCTAGCCATTTAATCAATCAGATTTGTGGCCATGTTGGGTGTGCTTTCAAGGTCAATCAGAGAAATATTTTAGATAGACAGATGGTCTTCAAACACTTCAGAGAGCTAAAGAATATGGCATTTAAGATGTTTTAATAACATAAGAATTTTCATGACAGTGAAACACATCTGCTCCTGGCAGCAATAATTTACTTCAGAAAAGAATGGTGGGTATCAAAGAACCTCCATATGGATTTTGCTTTTGTTGTGGCCAAGTTAGCCACTGGGCAAGAAACTACCCTTGCCTCAACTGCTGAGTGTATGCTGTCCAATTACACAAGCAGGACACAAAGGAAAGTGACTGCTGAACTTTTCCAAAACAAGGTAGGACAGTCCTTCAAAACTCCTGCTTCACAGAAAAGTATGTCAGATATTCTAGTCCTGCAGGCTGAAGATGGATGCTCCAATATTTCAGAGGAAGCTTGGGTGATTGTCTAGGCAGTCAGGTGTTTCTGTTATTCTACAAGTTTTGTTTGTTTGTTCTGAACTTTCTGTTTACTCAGATAGTATTATATCCTCCTAGGGACTCTGATTGAATTGAAGACTAGATATAATTACAGTTTTCCTTGTTACCAGGTTCAGAAAAGAAATAAAAGAGGTGGTAAAATATATACTACCTCTTTTATATTGAGAGACATAAAAGCTCAAATTGTTATCTAAGAAAATGGTTTGAGGTCTAAAACGATAGTTTTGGGTTGGTAATACAAGTTAGGATAAAAAATAAATTAGGTAAAAAACTTTGGCCTTACTAAGATAGGATAGATATTGGAATATTTTCCCTGAACTTGCCAAATACTAATGGACTGGACATTGTGAATGTTTTTCTTACTTGATGATTGTTCTTATTGTATGTAGTTTTACTATGCTAGAGTTAAAATGTCTCCTTTCTATTTAGACAAAAGGGGGAATTGTGGAAGGATATTTGTGCACTGTGTGAAGAAGGTGTATTGCTGTGACTGGTGTCACAAAAGCTGAACGACCAACAGCGAGGCAGGAGGTGTAACACGGTGGGTCTTCTGGGAAGAGAGAGAAAGGGGAAAGGAGTCCAGGTGCATGAGAGAGACGCGAGGAGACACGGAGGACGCAGGGTGGGCGGCATGTGTCAGAACGCAGCGTAACAGGAATGGGCTCATTTAAGTTATAAGAGACAGTTAAAAACCAGCCTAAGTAAGGCCAGGGTTTCATAATTAATATGTCTCCCTCTTGTTTTTTTCTGAGCTGGCAGCCCAAAGAAAAATCTGTCTACAAAGAAATTATTAAATAGGCACTTAAAAACCCACATCTACTACTAATGTTGAACTTTTTCTTTCTCATCCAGTGTTGTCTAAAAAATACTGGTGTCTGTTTACACAGACGGAATATATTAGTGTCTGTTTACACAGATGGAACGTACATTCATCATCACAATGGCTTGCTATACATCAGATCATTCGCTTCTTCCGGGCCACTGCAACCATTAGCACCTATAGCCTGTGATTTCTGATATATCTGATAAGCATTTGTACCCTCAATATTATGTCACTATAACTAACAATGAAATAAACATCTCTGTGTATGTCCATGCATACTGTTTTCATTATATTCTCAACTCAAACTCTTCACCAGTGTTTGACCTTCCTAATGCTGGGACCCTTTAATCCAGTTCCTCATGTTGTGTTGAACCCCAACTGGAAATTTCATTGCTACTTCATAACTGTAATTTTGCTACTGTTATGAATCGTAATGTAAATATTTGATATGCGACCCCTTTAAAAGGGTCATTTGACCCCTAGGTTGAGAACCACTGTTCTAAACCAATGGGGTTTTTAATATGTAGAAAGTGTGTTCAAGAAATTTGTACCAATTACATGTCTATAACAACTATATATGATGAAATATTACTGTTAATTTGATAGGTATTACCTTATTTATATTTCCTCTTCCTACAATTTTCTGTTCATGTCCTTCATCCCTATTTTTGTTTTGAGAGAAGGGGATATCTTCACAGTATTTCTATTAAATTATGTGCCTATTTTAAGTTAAGGATACTAATTATTTGCATGGTTTATGATTTTATTTTTTTATTTCTTCACTGGGGGTGATGCTCATGCTCTGGGTCCTGTGTGTAGGTTAGGGGATAACTTGCATGAATTGGTTCTCTCTTCCTACCATGTGAGTTGTGGGGATGGAGCTCAGGTCATTAGACATGTCGTTTTTTGAGACAGGGTCTCCCATTGGACCTGGAGCTGGCTGGCCTGACCCCAGCCATCATCGCTGTATTAACAGACCCCACGGTGCCGCACTCGGCTTTCACTGGGTGCTGAACTCAGGTCCCCACGCTTGCACTTCACCCTCTGAGTGTCTCCCCAGGCTCCCGGACTCACGGTTCTAAAAATCATGGCAGGGCTTGCGTGCTTACATTGATTGCCAGTTTAGCTGAAAAGTCTAGTTGCTTACAAAGTTGTTATGTGGATTCCGATATTGCATTTTATATTACATGTAACGGGGTCATTCTGAGGAACCTATCTTCGCTTGAAATTCAGTTTGCTGAACTCAGAACAGGGAGACTCAAGAAAGACGTGATACTATCATCATTATTGTTATTATCATCTATAGATGCTGGAGGAATAATTTAACAATTAGATCTTTGCTTGTGGATTACATAATAATTAACCAAAAAATCAGTATTTGTGTGGGGACAAGAGTGGTAACTAGTAGGTTCACAACATTATAGAAGACAGATGCTGCATTGCTGCTAGGAAAACAGACCCACCTGTGGGTGCCGGATAAAATGGGTCCTGCCTTTCCTTCTGGGGCTATGGTGATGATGACCGTGCCGCACTGATGGGCAATGTCCACGTACACATATCCGAAGCCAGTGAGGAACACGACCTGCCAAAAGAATGCTCCAAATCTGATTAAGGAGAAATAAGAACAGTGTTGAAATGGCTGACTTCGAGTTCTCAAGTCCTGATTCAACACTGCAAACACTCTCTAACCATGTGTACCGGCTAGTCGGTTGCCTTGGAAAAAAAATCAAATCCAGATTTTTCAATATCCAGCCTGTAAGGTTCACAGGAAAGAAATGATGGATGATAGAGCACGAGGGTCTTCGTTCTCTGCTTTTTGGAATTGGCACTCACCCCATGTGGGCTGGAGGCCAGCCATGGGGCCAGCTTCATGTGTGCATATGAATCACTGTGGGAAAATCTTACAGCTCAGGACTCCAAATGCAATGTGCAAACCTTTTCAGTGCCTGCTTGTTGACTTACCATTACAGGGACTTCCCCACGGAACACAAAAACTATCTTCGGAGCTAGCAGGAAGACCCCCAACGTCCCTCACGTGACCAGAAACTTCAGGTAAGTTAATTCACTTAGTACCAAGATCAATTGCCCAACCATGAGAAAGTGGACTAAAGGCTAAAATAATAAGAGCCTCTCCTAGCTCAGCAGCCAGGTGCCACGCCAGCAGAACAGGCGGCCTTTCACATTAAATACCAGTGATGCCTGAATGGATAAGTGTTTGAAAGCAGACCAGAGCTGTGTGAAAAACAACTCCAGGAACATCGTGTTCACAGCTAAGATACCTGCGGGCAGAGTCGAGAACCTCCTTGGGCTAGAGTGTTGAGTCTTGCAATCTGCAGTGTCACCTAAGTCCAAGCCAGCGAATAAAAGGACAAAGACTGAGCGTCCCTGGATGAAGACGCAGAGCTAGGTGTGTCTGCCTGGCAAGCGGTGAACGCATCCTAACACTGCACTCACAGGGAGTGTTACGCAGACCTCGGGAAGGGGCTGTGGACTCACACGGAAGCAATGTCAAGGATATCCAGCCTCTTTCTTTTACAGTCATATGTAGGGAGAGATCTTAGGCACCTGTACCGCTGACCACACCCATTTGGGCGTGGTCACAGGTATGTGTAGTAGGGGCGGGGAGATAAAGAGCTGGGATAAAGGAGAAGTGCTGTCTTTTCGGGGTTCCGGTTGGGTCTCGGAAGCTGATGAGACCAACCTGGCTTGCCGGTTTCTCTTGTAAGTACCATCTCACAACAGCCACCTGTATCCTTCATCAAGTGTGGGATTCATATTTCAGTCACAGTCGTAAGCCTCCAGGGTACCTGGATGTCATTGCGCCTCCTCTTTCTCCCCATTGCGACCAGCTGTGACCAGGGCCTCTGCCTGCCTACTGCTGTAGTCTTGACCCTCACCTGAACTCACCTTGGCTTCTGGGTTCTGTGTGCCTAGAACCCCCGCAACCCCTCTATGCCCTTTTCAAAACCCGGATATCGATAACACAGTTTAAGGGAAGCCTTATTCTACAAGGTTATTATTGTTCTATTCCCCTCCTCAGTAAAAGCCGTTACGCATATTTCTGCTTGATCGCGAAGTTTACCATTTGTATATCACAGTCACCTATTTTCCTGATCCAATTCGATCACTGGGCTCTAAACCAGAGAGCGAGAAAACGTCAGTTTGCTATGCTTGCATTCTACACAGGCAAGTCTCCCTGATTTTTTCCCTAGAAGTATTTCAAAGGACTTTGTGTTTTCAATTTGCCGTAATTGTTCCAACATAAGAATTAATTTGATGATCATAAAAATTAAAATGTCTCATCTTACAAATCTAAAACGAAATGAACTCTCAGAAAAATATTCCCACTCATGAAAGCCACATCTTGGCTGGCTAGATGGCTCAGCAGGTAGAGTTTGACCCTTGGGGCCCATGTGACAGAAGGAGACTCTATGACTGCATGCTGCCTTCTCTTACTGGGCCTAGCTCCCACGTGTATGTATGTACACTAAGACACAAATGGAATTTAAAAGAAAATTCAAGGCACCCATTGTAGGAAAGCCTTCCTCCTACTGAAAACCACTCTTTGTGTGATGCTTTTCTCCCAGGCAGGCAGCCGGTGTTGTTGGAGTTTTTCATTCCAGCCAGGTCCCGCAGCTGCCTTTAAGCCCAAAATAATCACACAGATGCTATATTAATTACAAAACTATTGGCCGATGGCTAGGGCTTGTTACTGGCTAGTTCTGTCTTAATTATTAACCCATTTCTATAAATCTATGTGTTTCCACGTGGTCTTGGTTTACTGGAGAATGTGTCTCCTTTGATGGCTTCTTTTCAGCGCCTCCCTGCCTACCTTTCCTAGAATTCTCCTTGTCTCCTAGCCCCGCCCATCTTCCTGTCTCATTAGTGTTTTATTCCTCAACCAATAAGAGGCACATACACACAGAAAGACATCCCCCATGCCCTGGGGGTTACTAACGTGGCATAACCCCATACAGCTCTCTGCTTTCCTCTACACTCTGCTTTCTAGGGATGATCTTGGCCACGACTTGACCCTGAGAACCGGGTTTTTAGGATGATGCTAAAAAACACAGCTATCATGCCTTGCGGGAGGAAATGAAGTGACCAGAAAAGGGGAACAGTTAGTGTCAGCTCATTCTCAGATGTAAAGATGTTTAATAGTCTCAGATGATAAGACAAGGCTTGCTGATGGTTGTGTTAAGCGCCCCAGGGGCTTTTGATAGTAAGAAAATGAATCTAAACTTTCAAGGTACTTCTGCCCAAAACGTCTGGACTTTGAAGAGAGACCTTTGCGGTCTGTGTCCCTGTCCCTCCACACTGAGAATTAAAGAAAAGGATTTGACCCGTAGCACTCCTCCTTGCTGCTCTCTGTAGTCGGAGCAACGAACCGCAACTTCGAAGCTTCTCAGTGAAGGGGGTAAGATAAGGGTTAGGTGCCTGTGGCGCTTGGAATGAGAACGGGGGTAAGATAAGGGTTAGGTGCCTGTGGCGCTTGGAATGAGAACGGCTCCCCACACTCCTGAGTTAGAATCTTGGTCCCCAGCTGATGGAACTGTTTGTGAAGGACCGCTTGAGGTGTGTCCTTGCTGGAGGGGGTGTGTCACTGGAGTGGGCTTGCTCTGAGGTTTCCAAGGACTCGGCCATTCCCAGTGTCCTCTTGCTGCTGCTTCCTACCTGCCAATCACAACGTGGCTGTACCTGCCAGCCCGCCTTTGCTATGTAATTGTTGACTCTGACCTTCTGAAACCACAGGGTACATTAAATGCTTTCTTTGTTAGTTGCCATGGTAACAGCAAAAGAAAAAAAAAACAGGACAATACCCAAGAGAATTAGGGACCAATACCTGGGTTGCTAGAAATTTTAAGGAGATCCTTGTTAGCCTCTGATGGCACCAACATTTAATCACTTTACTCAGTCTTGGACAATTATGTAGAGAACCTACTAAGAATTAGTTATCAGAGGCGATACGGTCATAGCCTCCTGGTGTCAACTTTACTCCCTGCCCCACCTCAAATGTTCATGCTTTTCCTGAGGTGGGAGAGTCCAGGCACCCTTATCTTTTGTTCCCAGCCTATTCTGGACACTTTTCAACGACCAAAACTGTCTATCCTTCCGTCTTCATGCTGGGGTTTCTGTTGCTGTGCTAAGCACTACGACCAAAAGCAACATGGGGAGAATCCCATCCACGAGGGAAGTCAGGGCAGGGACCTGGAGGCGGGAGCTGATGCAGAGGCCACAGAGAAACGTGGCTTACTGGCCTTCCCTCAGTCTGCTTTCTTACAGCACCCAAGACTACCAGCCCAGAGGTGGTGTCTCCCACAGTGAGCTTCAATCCAAGAAAAAAAGGTTATCACAGGCTAGCCCACAGTCAATCCCGTGGGGGCATTTCTCAAATGAAGTTCCCTCTACCAAACTATTAGCTTGCATCGAGTTTACATAAAACTAGCCCCTACATCAGGTAAAGTGTTTTGCTGAGCAGTCCTGAAGACCTGAATCTGATCCCAGAGACCATATTAAAGTGAAAAATGAGAATAAGCTTCAAAAAGTTGTGCTTTGAACTCTACACTGTGTCACAGAAAATGCATTCTGTAACACTATACACACACACTTAAAAATAAGTCAAAACTCTAGATACTTTTCTTCAGAGAAAACCTATTCTTAAAAATAAGACAATACTTCCCTACTTTTGAAATTTTAAGTTAAAGATGCTTATAAACTTGTCTTCTGCAAGAAATTGTTATGTCTACAATGACCTAAAGATACCGTAATTAGGCATTTTATTTTTTCAGCTGACTTAAGCTATGACTCATTTTTCATACTGGGAAGAATAAGTTTAAGCCTTGTTACTTAAATACCCATGTATGAAACACTTATTTAAAGTTTTTAAGCTTCTGAGGTGGTTTCACAAAGCCCTGGTGGTCCCCAAACCTGTTATACAGCCTGGCGACCCTGACTCCTGGTCTCCTGCCCCAGCTGCTGGGAGCTCAGATTACAGACACACAGGTTCCCACGGAGCCCACACTGGCCTCAAACCTGGTATAGAGCAGAAGCTGGCCCTCCTTCCATCTCTCAAGTGCTGGGATGCTAGCATGCGCCGGCACACACAGCTGTGCCAAGAAGTTCTTTACAAAGCATTTCTGTGACGTGTGTGCATTGTAGACTTCGCCTCTGAAGAGGTGTGTGAGTGTGTTATACAACCCCCCCTTGCAGCCTGGTGTCGGCAGTGGTCAGTTGTACGCTTTCGTTGTATTGGATGCTATGCTTAAAGTCTTGGGTTTAAATTCCCAGTCCGGGGCTGGAGTGGTGGCTCAGCCAGAGGAACAGGGTTCGATTCCCAGCACTCACACGGCAGCTCACACCTGTCTGTAACTCTAGTTCCAGGGGATCTGACACCCTCACACAGAGTCATGTAAGCCAAACACCAATGCACATAAAAAAAGCAAATTATATATTAAAAACTTTAAAAATATTCCTGGCCCACCTACTCTAGCTTTAGGAGTGGCATCTACACTGAGGGCTTGTGGCAGACTAACGGCAAGACACCTGGAGTGTCTGAGGTAGGCGGCGTCGGGCATACGTTTG